TAGTATATATACATATATATATATAATATTATATATACATTATATATACGTACGCATACACATACATTTACGTACGTGACGTGTGTACATGCGTATATATGTATCGATCGAAAGGAAGTTATAGGGACATACAATTAGTAAATTATTCTAGTTTTAGCGAAATCAACGTATAATAAATTATGACGAGTTTAGTGAGACGAGAAATTGCTTCGCTCTGGCGGCTGCCACTTATGTTTGCATATGTTTCATTAAACATGCATAAACACACATACACAAATATACATAGATATATATATATATACATATGTACCTACGTTTTAGGCGAAGAAAAATCTTTTCGTTTTACAATTTGCTTCGCGAATTTGTCGTTCGTCCGGATATGCAACGCGCATGTTCGTGCGACGCACGTGCGCAATTAACGGACACCCGGTGTACGTGGCTCACGCACGTGTGCGCATGTAATCGTACGTGTACACGTGTATACGTAAGGAGGCTAATTGTACGACGAAGAGTGATGCGCTTGGAACAAGGATATGTGCTTGACAAATTGACGATATAATATTTATATACATATATATATATATATAAATAATAATAAACAAAATAATGCTAAAATGACAAAGAAGGAATAATAACGATAACGATTATTTATGGTACGTATACATAACTTATACACTACAGTAACGTAAACATACACATATATTCTTGTCATTTTTAGAAGGTTAAATTTATATAATATATACATATATATATGAAAAAGGGGGAAGCTATTAACGACGTCGGGCGTAGTTGACTTAACAACAGGAGACTCGCGGATATTTATAGGATGCGCGAAAGTTCATCGTGATATTATCGCGAGATCGTAGATAAATCTTTGCCGCGCCGCACACTCCACTCGTGCACGGATGCGAAGTGGAAATGAGCAGCCACAGTCTCGTGTTAATCGTTTATGCGCAAATCTCTCTTTTCTTTAAAGTTTTTGATAGCATTCTTAAAAGAAAGAATGAAATAAAAACACTACAAAATATAAATAAGAGATAATATGAAGGATTTCATTTCAACATAAGCAACTATAAAGTATATCTTTTATGGTAAAATAATTTTTTACACCAAACACTAGACTTTTTGTAGACTGGCTTACTGTAATAATATATTATTGAAGAGCGTTACGAATCTCGATAAGAAAAATTGTGCCGAGATAGTTGTCGAAAATTTCAATTTAGAATTCGGAAAATGTGATTTAAGCGCCCAGTGTCTTTAATATGTATAATGCGCTCTATTCTTCTCGTGATTTTGGCTGTTCCGAATCCGAATTAATCCGGGTAGTTGCCATGGAAACCACATATGTGCACACATGGAGGCGTCTATAAATCCTTCGTATACAAGCGTGCGTGTAAACGTAATTAGAAAGCGCGATCAGCCTGCGTGCCGGTCAGTGCCAAACTGTGCATGCTTGCAGGATGATATTATCGCCTCCGTGAACGGACGTTTCGCTTCTCACGGATGATCGTCAGGGCCCTGTGGTGTACATGTGCACAAGATCCGTGTGACGTACGTGCGCGAAATACGGTTGCGAGATGAATGGATCGGATCGGAATGGATTAGACGCTCGTCTACGATCCTCCTTGTCCATTGGATAGATACGTCGGTCCGGGCGTGTAGATTGAGTCGGAGGGTTTTCATCCCTTCCGAGTGATTCTCCATCGAGACCGTAATCGCATGAAAGTGGTGCATGCTCGTCCTCAAACAGCGAACTTGCCACGATTTTCTTTCAACTGGATCGCGTTCGTTCTCCAATTACATCGTCTCACAATCGACGAGAGACGCGTGGAAATTAGGTAATGGATCGTAGGGAAAATCCTTACCCACGTCCCGTGGCAGCGGGATATTCGAGGGATGTGTTCTTTGTTCCGCCATCGATTTTCGATACGGCTTAGGATGTCCGGTTTCATCGGGATGTTTTTTGCTTTTGAATATCTCATGCGAGCCGTGGATCGCGGATGATTCGATTCTCCCGTGGAGAATTATTTGAACGTGTTCTTCACTTCTCGTGGGGGCGTGCAAATTTCAAAGAGAGAGATAGCGAGAAAAGGGATTAGAGCGACAAGCTCGACGAAATCCATTTGAAAGAAATTGCAAACCGACACGACGCAGAGTGGACGCCCGAAGATAGAGATTCAGAATAAAGATGGTGCCAGATCGCTATGAGTATTTATAGACACACACGCGCATCGTGCGAATCTCCTCTCATGTGCATATATACATACAAAAATACAAAGACAACACACACACACACATAACATACACATATGCACGCATACACATACATTATAAGACACGTATAATGGAGAGATGCTTCTATGAAAGCACCAATCGATAATATCATTACAATCTAAGCTTTTTAAAGTTTAACAATACTATTAGCGAATATCAAGAAGCACAACCTACCCTAATAGATACCATAACGATATAGATACATATATATATATAAATATAAATAATATACATATATAAATATATAAATACGAAGGTAACGGCTATTGTAACAAAAAAATACAACTATTTTATCCAAACAAAGTTTTTGCTACAACCGAAGTAGTGTGCATCTCGCTATGAAATAAATGAGACTTAACTAAACAAAAAAGGATATTCTTAGCTCTAAGGAGAAATAATAATATGATAATAGTGTAATCTGTGAGGATCAGCTTTGAATTTATTTTTACATGACGTGATTGTAATGCTGAGACGAATTCGATGCCCGTAAATTAATGTTCCGAATTCTGGGAAGCGACGTGCTCGCGCATGAAAAATCCCAGACGTCAGAATGCACCACGTCCGAGAATCGAGTTCCAATTCGAGACGCTCAATCCACCGCGTAAATTCATTTGCATCAACTAAGCGAAGATTGTCGGTTACACGGGTCGGCTGCCAAATGAAAATCGATACTTCGAATAGTCTGAGATGCACGTATACTTATCTGGATGCAAACGAATTCCCGCGAACGAATTCTCGATTTAGATTTAGGACGGAGATACGATGAAGTATAAAAGTAAGACAAAGAATAAGGAACAGAATATAACTTTATAATAATGTACAATAAGATTAATAATAATTGTAAGAATTCATTAAAAAGCAAGCATAATTGAAGTATAAAATAAATGAAGATTTTTCCTGTCAAATTCTAACATGTTTCGAATTGACATGTTGTTTATTGTTCAGTTGCATTTTTGTACTTATTTTTTGTGCCGCTCTTATATCTTATTCGGTTAATTCATCGTGTTTCTGTCCTTAAATTAAAAATCACCACGAACGCGAATTAAATCGCGAATTCGATGGATCGACGCGCATCTTTAAATTAGCCACGAACATCCGTCGATCTCGCGCCGCGAATGTCGGATAATGGTCGGATAGCGCCGCGCGAACGAACGAGCACGCGATCAGATCCGTGTTTACGTGTTATTTCCTAATTCCTAATTCATCTCTCGCCAAAAACAGCGA